TAAGTAGTTTTATATTTCGGGATCTTGAAATTAATAAGTTCAAATGAGGTTTTTTGGTTATTTAAGGATGCAATAACAGATAAATAAAACTTATTTTATTATTTTTTTTTCAAGCAATAAATAGGTTCAATCTTATTCATTCATGGTCTTATATGAGATAGCTTTATCATGTATTATGGGAGATTATTTCTATCATTTGACGTATAATTAAAATTTTATTTATTATCCCTTAGATTGTAACAATGAATATTGATATATAAGCTTACATTGGTCATTTACTAGGAAAAATCACTGTTTGAAATCAAGTGTCAAAGAATAATTTTCCTAGTAAATAACCCAACATGTTTATAAAGTACATAGTATATTTAATTTCAAAAATAGTGTCTTAATTTGCCGACATAACACGCTCAAAATAGCGCGTAGGTTTACTTTTTTAGCATATAAGGTTCTTAGCACTTCATATTAGATAAAATAGTTAGAAAATTTTTCTATTACATTTTATTAACACAGCAATTTTATGTTTTGTAAGAATCAAAATTTATTTGATCATTGCTTCATATCTGATATTATACGATATGCAAGACAAAAGTAAGTTTTTTTTTTTTTGAAAAAAAAAATTCGACCTGCAAACTATAGCAAATAAAAGAAAATTGTTTTCTTAATTTTTTAAAGAATTTTCTCGCTTTTTAACAATTTTCTGCATAGCAAAAACAATGTATAAGCTGAAAGCTTCCTTTTACTAGAACATCGTTAGATTAAGTAAAATAACACTTCATTTTAAGTTATGTTGATGCGACGACGGCTAACATTTTCTTCGTATGGAAGCTAAATTCGAATTCGAAAAAATTTATATAAATATAGAAAAAAAAAAAAAAAGGAAAATATCAAAGATACCGATTGATTACCGTAATTTCTAGAACACCCCGGTCATATCTAGCTTCAGCTTTGTCCGTGTTAACATTAAATGGCAAAGCGATAGATCGCTACATATAAAATTAAAGATTCAGAATAATTCACATAGATTTATAAATTAAGAAATAATAATTTACCGAGAAGCGACCAAAGGAACGTTCACGAACGTATCCTGTAGCAGTATCATGAGAATCGTCGGATGAAGATTCACCACTAATTATAAGATTGTCACCACGAATATCGAGGTTTATTTTCTCTTTCGGAACTCCAGGAAGGTCGGCTTATATTAACAATATATAAATAATATAATTAAAAAAAAAGTTATATAAAAAAAAAACTCATCTAAATAATAAAGTTATACCATGCACGACAAAAGCGTCTCCAACATCACGAGCTGTATAAAGAAAATATCAGGTAAGGTAGAAGATTAATAAAGGTAAAGGTAAATAAAGATGAAAAAGTAATTACCATCAACGCGAGGTTGAAAAGTAAGTTCCGATCGATAAGTTGTAGGACTCCACCAATTGTCTGACCATCTTCCAGTGTTAAAAGTGTCAGTTCGAAAATCGTTTAGAATCCTGTCAACATCACGACGCAAACGAGAGAGGGCATCGTCATACGATGTGTCCCCCCAATAATAAGGATCACGTGTTGTCAAAGATCCAACTCGAGGACCAAAAGAGCCAAATAATGTCAATGCCATTGCGATTGTAATAGAGAAACAAAGAATAAAAAAGATGAATAGTAGTGTTTTAGACACTTCTGAAAAATAGCTATCAACCGAAAGGATTGGAGTTGAAAAGAACGCCGTTTTGGTTAATATATATAGTGAGATAATGGATAAAATCCAAGGTTTTTGAAAGGAAAGAGTAACCCTGCTATATTTATATGAAAAATTAAGAAGTTTCTAGTAAGAAATCTCGTCACTGTTATATCATAAGAAAAATACGTATATGTAAAAATAACGTATTAAATACAGTATAATAAAAATAATTAACTGAATTTTAAATTTCTAGCTTAAAAAGTTAACAGTTTAGTAAAATATGATGAAATATTTATTTAAAATATACTTTGGTAATAAATTCAAAAATAAAATTTGATTTTTTCATTATATGTCTCTTACGTACATATAGGTACTATGTGAAAATTATTATTCTTGATATTTCTTTGAAATACATTGTTTAATCATTTTCATCATAAAGATTACGCAATTTTCGCGTAGTATATTAAAATTTTTAAAATTTTAATAAATTCAATTGATTTCTTAAAGCATGTAAAATTGAATATGTTCCCCTAAGTGCATTTTAGCAATCCTTATAAGCGTGAAAACATAGATTGCATTTAGCTGTTAGAGACTAAACTCACACGTACATACTGATGCTACGTACATACTACGTATGTAATACTATATTGATATAGAAGATTATTAAAAACATGTATAACAGATAACAAGTAATATACATTGCTTTCTGTCCAGGTACGTAAGTACATACACGTATATATATCTGATATCCTAAAAGACTGTCAGTACTGCAGTATCAGTGTCGTCATATACGAAGAAACCGTTATATAATATAATAATTAACTATTAATTTCAACTTCATGCCATTAGACACCCTAATTGAAATTTAGAGAATCACTCGTGAATGAACGCGAGTATTCAAAGTAATTCAATCATGTCACGTGATAGTACTAATGTTTCTTCTATGTCATACCTGATACGTAATTGCATACTTAGTAGAATGATCTACAGGTCGAATAATCCCAAGGTTTTTGTGTCATTTCTCCAAAATACTTACCGATCCGTTCGATCTGCTCATAAAAAAACCATGAGTGACATCGAGCTGAGTCAAATACCTACGCTAAAATCCTTATACGAAAAGGGTTCAATTAAACTGCGTGCGTCAAGGAAATCAAAATGTATGCTGTTTTAATAAGTCCTGATCTCGTTTTTTTTTAGTTAAAGGTCACTAAATATTATTAAATGTTATTAGCCCAATCCATTCCCTCTTACTCTTATAATGAAAAATTTAACGAAAAAGTCTCTCTTATGTGAGTGTATTTTTCTTTTTGGAAGGTAATATTCTAGGCTGATCTAGACTGACCCTTTTATTGTCCTTTTTTGTTTTAAAAGTCAAACCGATATTACGAAACTAAAGGTCGATGCGATAGGTTTGTTTATCTCATTTTACAATGTTATCACTGAGTCATTGCTAATAACGTTTTCTTTTAAATTTATGCTATTTATTAGTTAACGCCGCTAATGAGTCTCTTTTAGGCGGTGGCGGAGGTACTATTTTCCGTTCACAGTATTAAACTCATTGATAATCCCCATTTGTTAATTTATTCAAACCTTTTAATTTATATAGTGGATGGTGCTATTCACAGGTAAAATTAATTTTTAATTTATCAACTCTTTGTTCTTACCACCTTTCATTTACTTTCATTTCATCTCAATTTCACCTTTGTTTCATCTTTATTCTTGATTTATAGAGCTGCTGGACCCGGCCTTCGAAAAGAATGTTGGGATTTAGATGGTTGCAGAACTGGGGTGATTATTTAATTTACCTTTATATTATTTAATTCTTCGGGAATCTCAAAATTTTCAATTTTAATTTATCTCACAGGATGCAAAAATAACTAAAGGTACATTAAATGTTTAGAAAGTTTTTTCTTGTCACATAATTACTTATTTTTAAACCAGTATTTTCTAATTTTTTTTCTTTACAGGATATGATTTACCAGCTAAACGTATGTGCTTCTTAAATATATGTATATATGGGCTAGATGCTAGTAAAAGGGGAGAAATTGTTAAAATAATAATAATAATAAAATCTGTAAA